CCCTGTAGTTACTGTGAAGAAACTAATGTAGAGGCTAGGACTAGAAACAGGAAGAGTAGCCTGAAGGTTGTCACAGGGTTTGGGGGAAGTTGACGAGAGACTGGATTATGATTGCAGTGATAGAAATGACAAGTGTTTAAAATCTGAACCTTTAGTCAGTAAGGTGTGTTGATAGGTGGTTATCATTATTGACTTTCAGGACATGGGTGGTGGTTTAGCAGGTAAGGATGCTGCCACATCTGAGGATCTGAATGGAATGCATTTTGTGGTAGGTGAGACCCAAGTTCTGAAAGTTGTCTTTTGGCCTCCCTAATCATGCAAGGGCTTACATGGGTGCACACTGACACTGATCTGATAAAATTAAAACATGACCTTCCAATTCAGAATAATGAGCATTGTGAACAGTGGGAGTGGGGCGAGGCCTTTACAGCACCATCCATGCTGGAAAGCTGAGCTGCTGGATCCTGTGTGAGCACTCCCAGCTTCTGTGGAGGGAAATAATAAAAAATTAAAGAAAGGAATAAGAAGCCGGGTGGTGGCGGTGCACGCCTTTAATCCCAGCACTCGGGAGGCAGAGGCAGGAGGAGCTCTGTGAGTTTGAGGCCAGGGTGCTCTACAGAGTGAGTTCCAGGACAGACTCCAAAGCTACACAGAGGAACCCTGCCTCGAAAAACCAAAAAAAGAAGAAAAAAAAAAAAAGACAGAGTGTGAGAGTGGCATAAGAGGCTTCAACTTCAGTAACATTATCTCATAACTTAATAATGTTCTACTTACAAAAGAAACTAAATGCTGCTTTATTGTTATAGAAATGATCTCAGTGGAATACTGGACCAATTAGTAGGAAAATTTGAGACAAATTAAGTTTAAAAGTGTTTCTTGAGGAAAGAGTAATTATTGAATCAGGCAAACCGCAGAATTCCGAGAGCTCCAGCTAGCAATGTAGTCACAGACTACACTCCACACAGAAACAAAATAGAGAAATCTGTCTGGGTGCAACTAGACATTTTTAAAGCAAGTTTAAAAACTAAATATTTTATGTGTAGAAGTGTTGTGCTTGCATGTATACACCATATGTGTGGTAGTTCCTACGGAGACCAGAAGATAGCATTGGGTCACCTACAATTGAAGCTATGGATGGTTGTGAGCTACCACATAGGTTCTGGGAACTAAAATTAGGCCTCTGTAAGAACACCGCCAAGTGGTAGTGGCGTACACCTTTAATTCCAGCACTCAGGAGACAGAGACAGGCAGATTTCTGTGAGTTTGACACCTGCCTGGTCTACAAAGTGAGTTCCAGGACAGCCAGGATTGTTAACACAGAAAAACCCTGTCTTTTTGATTGCTTTTGATTGCTGACCCATCTCCCCAGCCCCAGCTAGGCATTTACAACATGGGTCGGGGTTTAATCTGTTGGATATCTACTCAGCTGTTTGTGTGAGTGGAGACATAGCTATTCATTACCAAAGATACACTCTTACAGTAGGATATGGTGTCTTTAATAGAGGATTTCTCCAAGTATGAGTCAGCCTTACCACTGACTCCTGCTTCTTTAATCAAACAGCTGCTACAAACTTGCAAGGCTAGTGGCAGCCTGGGGTGGGCAAGCTTTTATGCTCTCACTTTGATCTTGTCTGAAAATGTTTTTTCCCCCTGTTTTCTGCAGAAATATTTTCCTGCATAAGTGAGAATTTCCTAAGTTTATATCTTGGAAAGCTGTGAAAGAACTAAGTATTTTAAGTTCTGTCTGATTTAGAATGCTGAAGATAATGTCTTCTTCATTCAATTTCACAATAATTTAACTAGAAGCTTAAAATTAAAGTACATACATCTACTAATATGTTATCGAGGCTATGTATATTGTCAGTGTTGGAACTGCATATAGATGATGAGAAATAATACAAAAGTGACACATGTCACATTTGATTGCCTGCTGCTTCTAGCATGGTGTTACGTATGGATATATTTTACCTAATTTAATCCACAGAATGATTCCAGTTCTGCAAGAGAGGAAATTGAGCTATTTCTCCAAGGTTCAAGAGTAAGGGATGATGAAATCAGGGTTCAAACCAGGCAGTCCACACTTCCAGCCACCTCTGTTGCTTCACTGGAGAACCCCAAGAAAGTCGTTCAGTCAATAGTAGGTAAGGGTGTTTGAGTTCACACAGTTGGCAGTGAGGAAGTAAAGGCAAAGAGAGGTAATTAGTTTAAGATATTTATTAAGTGAATATTTGTGCGTCTATTGTGAACCAGCCACTGCACCACCACCTTCAAACAATGGCTCTGCTCTGGCCCTGAAAGGAGGTGCAGAAGATGATTTCTCAAATGTGAAGCCAGGCCCAAGGGAACTTTACTGTTTTTTAATTTTGAAATTAATGAAGTCTTAGTGTGTTTCTAGAATGAAAAGCCATTGTAAAGGAAAAAAGTTAAGACTCACATTAGATATGGATCATTTAGAAAATGATCTTGTTTAATTTAAAAATATTTTAAATTCATTCTTCGACAATTTCACATATGTATATATTTCTATCAGAATAACTCCCAATTTACCAATCCCATTCCCTTAGTGTTCTCCCAACATGTACTTTCACATCCTTTAAAAAATAACCCCAAGTTCAATTATTGCTGTCTCCATGAGCCTGGATAACTACTTGCAGCTATATATCGGAAGAAAAAGGACCCCTCTTCCCTAGAAATTACTAATTGCCAGTAGCTGACTACTTAACTGTGGATGGAGTCTAAGGGACCCCTGTCTTATCCATGCTAACGTTCTGACTGGCTTGATCCTGTGTGGGTCACCATGGCTGCTGTGGACTCATGAGTGCAACCACCATGTTTTGTGCAGGAGACAGCGCTTCACAGCACTCCCCCTCCCTCAGACGCTTGCTGTACTTTGTGCTCCCTGTTCTGGGACATTCTCTGAACCCTGGGAGGCTGATGTGGATGTTCTGTTTAGAGTTGAGCACTTAGCAGTCACGTATTCTAGAGCCTCTCTAACGACGACTGCGCACTGCAAAGAGAAACATCTGTGACCAACACCAGTCTATGGCTACACACAAATATTTTGAAGGCATTTTGACACGTCCACTTAGCAAAACAAAAGTAGGAGTTCCCCCTGCCGCAGAGACCTCCACAGACATGCGGTTCAGCCAGGGTTACTAAGCATGGATTTTCTGTGGAGCAGGCCTCAGATCCGAAGCAGTTGGTGAACTCTACCAGTCTTGTTGCTGTTGTGTCTATGGACAGATCTTGTTTGGAAGGTCAGTGTTGTAGCATGCAGAGTGCACCCCTGGGTAAGTGAAGACGTTTCAGCCCTAGTGAGTGCACAGCAGCATCGTCCAGTACTATGACGTCTAGCCAGTAAGGACGACATTTCCAGGTCAATTCCTACTTGAGTTCTCTATGCCTTGTGTTGTTCACAATACGGTGTTTAGTGAGAAACAAAGAGCAATGACACTCACCTACATTGTTAGGCTTCTGGGGCTACCACAACCAGTAACTGATAGGAAGTAGCCCATGGCTAGCTTTGAGATTTTCATTTAATAACCCATTTATTCACACATTGAAGGTAGATTTGACTAAACTCTTCCTTTTAAATGTTTTTCTAAATTGTCTTACAAAGTAGTGGGTTTCTAAAAGCCTTTTCATATATCCTTAATTTTGGTTAACCCACTGCTACCTCCCTACCTCTCATCCTGCCACTCCCTCCCCAACTTAAGCCCACGAATCCCCTTCTCTACCTTCCATAGCATGTGCTCTGTTCTATGCTCCCTTTTGTGTCTTCTTCCCTCTCCCCTGTTCTGAATCCTTCGTAGCATCCTGACCTCTACAGACACAGCAGGTTAAACACAGAATTCTAACAATTTGAAGTTAGGTACCACAAAAGAGAGAGAATGTGTAGTTTTGTCTTTCTGGGTTTCAGCAGCCTGATTAGTACAACATGTTCTAGTCCCATTTACCTTGCTGTAAATTCCATTCTCTTAAAGGGATATTAATTTCACTGTGTATCTGTACCACATTTCATCATTTGTTCACCAAGTGATAACATCTCAGACAATTCCATTTCCTAGCTATTGGGAAGACAGCAGTCATCTTGAATGTGCATGTGTCTCTGTGGTAGGACATGGAGTCTTTTGGATATATTCCCAGACTTGATATAACTGGGTCACATGATAGTTTCCAGAAAATGACCATTTTTCAGTGACTAACAGTTCAGAATTTCTGAAGTTTTACTAAGGTAGTTGAAAAATGCGCCAATCAATTGGAGCCAAAAATGTGGTTAGTTAACTGGTTAATATGACCATTGATGATTAAATTTGGCTAAAACACTTTTTAAAAAAAGTTTAATCATCAACTTTGGATGTTGATGTTGAATGAATCTCAATATTCAAAGATAATGTCAACATAATAGGGTTTCTGGTCTGTCAGCTGTCTCTACTTCATATATGTTTATGAAAGCCATTTTACAGCAAAAAACTTTGATTTTATGTGCATGGGTGTTTTGCCTGAATGTATGTCTGTGTGCCATACGTTTGGTTGCTGCCCAGGGAGGCCAGAAGAGGGCATTGTATCCCCTGGAACATCATGTGGGTGACTGGATCAAGCCCAGTCCTGTAGAGGACTCTTAACCACTGAGTCACCTCTCTACTCCATTCTACAGTTTTCTGAGGTGAAACTCCAGTTCAGAATTAGATGACTTTAGAAAACATCTGGTTTGTGCTGTAGGTAGGAAGCGATGGGAAGGATGTGTGTCAGTTAAGGTGTGAATGTTGCTTGGACCTGCCTTGTTTTCCATCAAAGGGTGTTGTTTCAGATGAGGAAGCATAGTAAGTGTTGGCATGTATTTGTGCTGTCCACCTTCCAGAAAGGCCATGGAAGCTTGTAAGTATCACGTGTGTTTGTGCTGAACAACTTCCAGACATTCTTAACGAATGACTCCGTGCACCATTCTTTGCACAGAGAGCTGATATTTGAGAAAGTGTTTGTATTAATTCAAGAAAAATATGATGTGTCTATCCAAAGCATCACTCTTGTTCTTACATGTATGTATTTTCATTTGTGGAGAAACTATACAAGGTAGCTGTGTTCATCATTCTGTGGGAAGAATTTTAGCAATTTTATTTTAGCTTTCATGATGTATTAGAAACTTGAAAATATATATTATACAACAAATATAATTTATATAACAATTAAAATATTTGTTTCAAGAAGTTGATACTTCTTAAATGTTACATTTTAAAATAAACTAAATTTAAGACTCAGTTGTTTAAAGATATTTTAATTCTCTGCTTTCCTATTACTTTTGATAATGAAACATCTGATGGTTAGTAAAAATTACTCTTTAAAAAGAAAGCTAGGCCGGGCGATGGTGGCGCACACCTTTAATCCCAGCACTCAGGAGGCGGAGGTAGGCGGATCTCTGTGAGTTCGAGACCAGCCTGGTCTACAGAGCTAGTTCCAGGACAGGCTCCAAAGCCACAGAGAAACACTGTCTCGAAAAAACAAACAAAAAAAAATAATAAAAAAAAATAAAAAGAAAGCTAGTCTGTAAACCATGACATTTCAAATAAAGGCCTTTATGTGGTTAATTGGGATGCATGAATATCTTATCTAAAACAACCTCAGAGTGACAGCTAGCATGCAGTGTGCAATGTTATGAATAGCTGAGGGGTTGACTGCCCATATACTGAAATGTTGGTTTGCATTTTTAAATGTTAAAAATGAATTTGCCATTATATAAAAACCAAATGTCAAGATGCTGTGGTTGAAACAAGAAAAAAGTCCAAGACAGCTGCACAGACACTAATGATTTAATTCTTTAATACATTTACTAAAATTTAAGAGCCTTACTGAAAAAAGAATATCTATTAAAAACATCAAGTCTGTCAATTGTTATAGAAGTGAAAAGAAGGAACAAGAACTTTAAAATAGTATGAGTAACAAAGTACAAGTTCTTTCAAAGGCAAGGATCTTTGTAATGTAGTTAGTTCTATACCCATCTCTTAGTGTCTAGAAAATAGGCAACCTTACTCAAAGATTGTCTTGATAGTGAAGAAACTAATCACATGCAAACAGATAGAGATACTTTTAATGTCACGTGTTATTATCCTTTTAATGATATGTTACTGATTTTTACAAAACAAGATTCTATAATTTTAAATTTTATCCATGATAACATTAAAATCCATGAGTAGTTATCTTTTCAAATCTTCAATTATTTTATATAAAATCAAATATTCCTATACATTTTTCCTTCAATTTTTAACAGTTGGTGGCAGAAAATTCACTTGGCTAGAGGCATTGATGATATCTCTGAGGAATTTCCTCCTTCGTCCGGTGATAAGTGAGTCCTGTCACACACAAGTTTGTAGAAAGTAAGGGTCAAATTCATGGAGTCATAGGAGTGGGAGGAAATCCTACGCAAATTTGTTTGGAGTTTGAGAAGAAAAAGAGATAATACAAGTACTGAATATGTTTACTGACCAAAACTAAATTGTGCCCTTAAGGGTTATCTGTGGGAATTTAAACTAATATATATTATATATTTTAATATATATTAAATATATTTTAAGTGATCATCTACATTGTGTATTTCGATTTGTTTTCTGCAGTCTTCTTCCCGTGTAGAAGGTCTGACAGTATATTTTCATGTACTGTTTTCATTTCTGTTTTACAACTCTAAGGATTCTCTAGTAGATAGCAATGTAGAAGATAAAGCTCACCTCAAAGATGAAAGTCAAAGGAGCAATACCGTGTGCAAGGAAGACTGTAAGGAGTCACGTGATGCTAAGACCAAAGTAACTGGAGAAGAAAGACATTTTATGTGCAGTAAGTATTAAAAATTACCACAATTGTAATGAGATCAATCTTTGACACTAAAAAATGTGCCTTTGTTTTGTACGGATTATTTTATATATATCTGATCACCCAAGGCTAAATGCTTTCTGTGTTTGACACTTAATAAGTATGTGCTTCATAGATATTTGTTAAGTCAATGCAGTCTTTCCTCCAGAGAGTCTGGTGGTATCAACAGACCATAGAAAGAAGGGCAAGCCAGAGGGTTCTGATAATATTAATACATTGATTTCTGAATGGCTGCTTTACTCCTTGCTTCAGAGTCTTAGAAATTTCACCTTAGTTCCCCCCACCCACTACAGTGTGTTTCTAAGAACAAACACATTACTTCTAGAAACTACAACAATAATGCAATAATACAATAAATACAATACAAATCTAGTCATTTAATGTCAGAAAGGATCATAATTACAGTTTTAGTTTCAATGTAAGAACAATTAAGTCACCGTGCAGTAATTCCTATCATTTATCAAATACATGGGGTGCAGTGGAGAAAGGCAGCCTGGGATGGGTGGAGCTAATAATGTGACCCAGTTCCTCTGGATAGTCAGTTATAGGTTAGCGTGTAAAAGGCTGGCTTAAGTGTGCTCAATTTCTGTGCAACGTAAGTGTCCTGAACTCCAATCCATGGACTCACTTTGGTCCCATTGAGACAGTTGTACAAAAGCAGGGAAAAAACTAAGAAAAAGCAAGAGACTGAAAATGAAAATGAGAGATAAAGCTGGATGAAACAGACTCAGCTGTCAGACGTTATTAACATCATTCTACTGCCAGGATGAAGTAAACCTAGAGACAAATACCATTTAAAAGGTACACAGGAGATAATGCCTGGGGCTCTTTGCTGGAAAGAGTGTCGTTGTCTTATATGTAAAACTTTCTCAGTCTGAGAAGCAGAGGTGGTTGATATTTATTTTAAAATGTTGTATTTTATGTGCATGAATGTTTTGTCTGCCTGTGTGTATGTACATACACCACCTGTGTGCAGTGACTGAGGAGGCCAGAAGCTGTTGAATCTCTTGAGAGTAGAGTTACAGTTGGCTATGAAACACTGCGTCAGAACCAATTCTGAGTTCTCTACAAGAGATGCCAGTGCTTTTAACTACTGAGCCATCTCTCCAGCCCCGAGGATTTTAGAGACTATGGGAGATGATAGTAACAGGATTTCAAATGCCTTAAGGGAATGCAATTTTAGTGTTTGTGCAACCTTTTTTAAAATAAGGAATATTGTATATTTTCTATGAAATCAAAGGGATATATTATACAAGTTCAGCCAGAAACTAACAAACTGGAAATTTAATGTTTTTACATATGTTTCATTAATTAATTAATTAATTAATTAATTTTGTGTGTATGTGTCTGTGTGTGTGGACGTTGAACTCAGATTTTCAAGTTTAGTGGCAGGTGCCCTGCCCACTGAGCTGTCTTGCTGGCCTCCAAAGGTTTGGTTAAGATTTATTATGTATATGTATGCTAGTCATAGGTGGATGTGATTTTATAAAATATAGTATTAGAAAAAATAAAACAAAGATGTATTTTTAATTAACTGTCATGGTATGCAAGTAAATCACACTTGCACTTTGTCTTATCATCTAATAGTACTTAGTGGCTAAGCAGGTTGACACAAGTCACTTGTATGTAATCCTAGCATTTGAGAGTTTGAGAGATGGAGGCAAGAGGGACAGAAAGGAGCTAAAAGCCAGCTTGTGCTACATGAGACCCTGTCCCCCACTTCCTATACTTCCTGGCCCTAAACTTCTTATCTCATGCAGTGAAAATAGGCATTAAGAATCTTATTTCTTAATTAAATAAATAATTTTAGGGAATCTGTATTATCAGGAAGCATAATTTCATTAAGAATGTTGAAACAATTACTTTTTGGCCAATCTCATTTTAAACAAATATGTACTAACTAAAACTTATAGTTATAAGTTCAAATAAATTGAGATACTATTCTTTATTTATTCCAAACCATGTGTAATTCATTATTTTCACTGCTATTGTTTTAAATAAAATGTCATTTTTTCCCTTTTCCCCACAACCTCTCCAGCATAAGTTGTCGTCAGTGTTGTTGATCTTGGATTATGTGTTCTTTTAGTGACCAATTTCTTGAGTTGTTTGTATATTTTGGAGATCAGACCTGTGTCTGATGTGGGGTTAGTGAAGATCTTTTCCTATTCTGTAGGCTGTCATTTTGTCTTGTTGACCGTGTCTTTTGCTTTACAGACTTTTCAGTTTCATGAGGTCCCATTTATTAATTGTTTCTCTCAGTGTCTGTGCTGCTGGCGTTATATTTAGGAAGTGGTTCCCTGTGCCAATGCATTCAAGTGTACTTCCTACTTTCTCTTCTATAAGGTTCAGTGTGGCTGGCTTTATGTTGAGGTCTTTGATTCATTTGGACTTGAGTTTTGTGCATGGTGATAGATATGGGTCTATTTTCATTCTTCTACATGTTGATATCCAGTTATGCCAGCACCACTTGCTAAATATGCTTTCTTTTTTCCAATTGATATTTTTTGCTTCTTTGTCAAAAAATCAGGTGTTCGAAGATGTGTGGATTGATATCCAGGTCTTCTATTCGGTTCCATTTGGCCCTCCTGTCTGTTCTTATGCCCAATACCAGGCTGTTTTCAGTGCTGTAACTCTGTAGTAGAGTTTGAAGTGGGGATTGTGATGCCTCCAGAAGTTCTTTTACTGTACAGGATTGTTTTGGCTATCCTGGGTTTTTTGCTTTTCCATATGAAGTTGAGTACTGTTCTTTTGAGGTCTTTGAATAAATATTGCTTCAGTTTTGCTGGGCATTGAGTTGAATCTGTAGGAACTAAATCTCACTACAGCAGGGGCCACTGAAGTATGCGAGTGAGGAAAATGTCATCACCCCCTTAGCAGCTGGTGTGGAAGATGATTAGGGAAGAGCCAGGGGAGGCAGCGAGGAAGGCACCAGAGCCTTCAGGACAGTGAGAGCAGAGCTGCAGGGACAGACAGCACAGAAGTAATGGCAGACAGAACTAGCTCTTAGGAGATGCTGCTGGGTGGAATGAATGCTGTTTATGCTTTTATTGTGTTAGAACAGTAAGAATCCAATCTAGAAGAGAAGGCATCCTTCTGGCCTAGAGAGGCTTAGAGACAGCGTTTATATAATTTAGCTAATATAACCTTGTCTTGTGTGTCTGCCTTTAGGTTAATGAGCTCATGAATCGAATTCTCCTTTTGACTACAGAGGATTTTAGCAAACAGCTGGAATCTTTTCCCGCCAGCCCATGCAGTCACATGGTGAGAGCGCTGGTATTTCAGTCTCTGCACACTCCTGTTTTATTCCTCAGGGTTTCCTGGGCAGCGTGGTGCAGCGGAAGGTTTTGACTACAATGCTGCCTGTTTCCTAGCAGTCTGGAGGACTGTTCCTGCTCCTCAGCCAGTTACAGCACGTGTTCCTTCAGAAGCTGAGGACTTTTCCACTGGTTGGAAGCCATAGTGTAAAATAATATCAAGAATCTGTTGACCATCAAGTAACCTTAGGTGCTGTATTCTGAGCATCCCACCCTGACATTTTATTACTAATTACTCTTCACAAAGAAGAGGCTTTCCAGAGTCCCTGCCTAACCTGTGAAAAGTATTTTTTTTCTACGTTTCAAAGTGAGATATAACATTTTAAAGAAAAAAGAAATTTAATATATAAATAAATACCAAGTTAACATTTTGCACTAAAATATAACATATTTATTCCTATGTGCTTCTAAGAAAGTGCTATGTAAATCTTACAAATATTAATTCACATAAAAATTCCAAGCAAATAAATATTACTGACGCTCAAGGATGTGATCCTAAGTTTTTCTCTGAAGTGGGATGGAACAGACAGGGATTGGGCATCTCCTTGTTCCTTTATTAAGACAGTGCATGTGTTACTTTAAAATGACTTATTGTCTCATCCTCTTCTGAGTGAAAGGGCGAGGTGTAGCAAGGCATGAAGTCCAGTGGCAGGCTGGTCCTTAACTTCCAAGCTGCTAGTTTCCTCCTCAGTAAGTTGAAACCCTTATCTGTCTTTCCTCATGGGTCTCCAATACCAGATAAACAGCACCTCAAAGTGGGAGTTTCATGTGACTCACAGTTTGAATATATACCCCAGCACTGTAGGGGAGGCATGGCAGCAGGAGAGGGAGCATACACCCCAGCACTGTGGGGAGGCATTATCACAGGAGCATACACCCAGCACTGTGGGGGAGGCTTGATCACAGGAGCATACATTCCAGCACTGTGGGGGAGGCATGGCAGCAGGAGCATACACCCCAGCACTGTGGGAGGCAGCTGCTCACTATCTGCCGTCAGGAAGCAGAGAGAGATGAATACTGGGGCTCAGCTCGCGTTCTCCCTTTAATTCAATCTTGCACCCCAGTCCATGGACATGGTGCCACAATCAAGCTGCACCTTCTGTTCTCAGCTGAACCTTTCTGGAGACCATCTCATGCACACAGCTGTAGGTGTTTGTCTCAGGTGACTCTAAGGCCAGACAGGTTGGCTGTGAATGTTAAACTCTGCAAGTCTTACAGACTTGCTATGCAGGACTAGCGAGTAAATCACAACACATTCTGAATTATCCTGTGATGCACAGCAAGAGCATAGAGCCCTGCTCTGATACCCCCAGCATCAGGTGAAGACAACCCAAGAAGCCCAAGAAACTTGCTCACACTTGCCGACCGATGACGAGGCAATGCTTTGCTGTAGGCCAGCCCTTCACTGTGGACTACTTCTGCCACACTCTGAGCATAGCTCCATTAGAAGAATGTTTCCTCTTATTTCACAATGCAAACCCCAAAACTATTTACCCCAGAAACAAAGGGAAGCTGAACAAGTTTTTATACTAAGGCCTTTCTGTTGAGTTGTTTTCTACAGATTAATGTGTGGTAAGCTCTGTGCTAAATGCTTGCCTTTCAAACCTCCAAAAACAAACAAACACCGCTATGGCACAGTGAATTGTGCTATTTTTCCTACATTAAGAAAGCATTCTAAGGCTTCCAGCTAGTCAGTAGTTCCTAGCTAGGAAGTAATAGCAGTCACCCGAGTAAGTGATGCCCTGAAACTTGCTTTTGGAGGTGGTATTTGTGACTGAACTTAAGCTGCATACATGGTGGGCACGTGATCTATCAGAAAGTTACCCACCCGCCCCGGGCTGGAGAGATGGCTCAGTGGTTAAGGGCATTGCCTACTCTTCCAAAGGTCCTGAGTTCAATTCCTGGCAATCACATGGTAGCTCACAACCATCAGTAATGAGGTCTGGTGCCCTCTTCTGACCTGCAGACATACACACAGACAGAATATTGTATACATAATAAATAAATAAATAAATAAATAAATAAATAAATAAATATTTTTTTAAAAAAGAAAGTTACCCCCAACTTCTTGTTCTGATACAGGGTCTTATTAAGTTGCTCAGGCTGCTTTGAACTATGTAGTCAGGGCAAGATTTCCTGCCTCAGTTTCCTGAGTGACTGGGATCACAGGGTTGGAGTTATGTAATTACACTTAAAAATGTACATTAGAATATCTTCAAATAGAATGTAGTACTCCTCGGCACACTGGTATCACATACAGGCATTCACAGTCCTCTGTGGAGCTTTGTGGGTGGCAAGGCTACAGCTTTAACATTTGTAGAAAGAGTACACACTAGCCTTGCTTTGTTTCTTGTTAGTGAAGAAAGCAGTTTCTACTTCCCTCTTAGTTATTGGCATTGATGACTTCAACACACTACACTCTGAAGTTTGGAATAAAGTAGTCAAGGACGTGTTAATCACAATTAAACTACTTAAGTTTTCTCATTCCTACCCATCCTTTATATATTAAAAATAAACTTGGGTTATCGTAGAATCTTTGGAAAAGAGAATGATTAATTATACAATGAGTAAGGGTTGATCCCAAATGAGTGTTTAAAGATTTGTTTTACTTTTACTTATGTGTGTGTGTGTGTGAGCCTGTGTGAGTTTATGTGCACATATGTGTGCAGGGACCGGAGAGTGCTGGATCCCTGGAACTAAAGTTACAGACAGTTGTGAGCCACTGTCTGGGTGCTAAGAACATAACCTGGGCTCTCTGCAAGACTACTTGGGCTCTTAATTTTTGAGTTTTCTCTTTGACCCCACAATATGAGACTAAAATTCAAGCAATAGTCACTTAATTGTTAAGCCATCACTCTGACCCCAATATGAGACTTTAAACACTAATGACCAAAAGGAATGTTATTTGTGAGGGCTTAGCAGCAACCCAAATTCTTTAATTTCTGTTCTTTCTTATGTTTTCTCCTGAGTTCTAAAACTGTGGTAATGTTTCGTTTCTAATGTGATAAAGGTGTGGCATCACTGATAGAAGCTGTAGTAACAGTTTCAGACAGCACCATCAATTCTCTGCCGCCAACTCATTGTTTTAGCTATGCTTGAAGTGCACTAAATGAGTAATTTTTCCCTAGATTTGGATTGCACTGATATTAAAGATTCAATTAGCTCTGTCACCAGAACCCCTAGTGGTTTATATATAATCTTTCTAGAAGGATCTAGCTACCCATTTGAGGTAAAGTTTTCACTTATTATACAGAATAAAGTAAACATCAAGCTAACTTAATAAATATTGAAATTGCAATTATTTTTATTTTACTTTAAAAATAATTTTGTCTTGAAAATTTTAAATAAATTAGCAAAATTTATAACATGTAAAGGTCAGTTTTCTTTACATCTTCTACTCAGACCATGAATTTCAGTTTCCTGAGTGTCCATAGTTACACTATTCAAAGTAAATCCATCTGTTGCCAAGTTTTATGTTATCCTTATGGGGCAGAGCTGTGCAATACAAATTATTGCTTTAATTTAATTTGATGGAGACTAGACAATAATGTGTGAAAATAATGTGTGATGACGTGGGGCTTACTAAAGTACATTTACTTTGATTCCTACTCATGCCTATACTTTCTTTTGATAATACATTATTTACCAGTGTGAGACTTTGCTTCAAAAATTTAAAAAGAAATTAATAGAAAAAGTGTTTTACTTGGGCATAAGGAAGACTGCTAAACTGATCAATGCTTAATTTGAATAATAAGAATTATACTTTGTTTATCCTTAGTAATTGTCTGCTTGTATTTCTAGTAGGTATCTACTGCACACAATGCTTGTGGACAGAAAGGATATGTGTGTGTGTGTGTGTGTGTGTGTGTGTGTGTTCATGTATTTTTTTTCTGGGTACTTTCTCAGTGTATAAAAAATTTATGATCTTTAAAGTTTATCAATAGTCTATATTATACAACAACCACCTTTCTTTCTAAGTAGATGCAAAGAGTTTCTATTCTTAGAATTATTACCATAATTTCTCTTGAAATCTATTGACAAGATGTCACGAAATTAGGACTTATGTGGGAAATAATTTAAAAACTACCTAAGTCTCTTTGCCTACACATCCCAAACTGGATCTGAACAGCGGTAGAAGGGAAGAATTATAACTTTGAGAGGATTGGGTTGCATAATTGCCTCTTCTGTGGAAAGTGTGGTGCCTGAAGTTCCTTCACATTGGTTTTTTTATTTCTTTTTTTTTTTTCTGACTCTGTGTGGGAAGTCTCTTGTAGAGTGGATCGCTTTGCTTTCTTCCCCTGTTGTTTCTGTGGGCCCCAGACAGGTCCATGTCACACAGTTTCAACAGAGGCCCCTGTGAACACTTGCTGAGTGGCCACAGCTCATGGCTCAGTATTGAAATACCAATCTGAACTCCAGTTTGTGGGAGAAAAGAGAAACCAGAGGCAGGCAGACATTTCTAACACTAAGAAACCAGCATTATAATCCAAAGAACAAAGTCATTTGTTAATCAATCCATCTCTGCCGTTGCATGTCAGCGCTGTTATCCCTGAACTGGGGGAAAATGTTGAGTTGAGGAATTATATGATAACCGTAAAATACTGCAGACAGTTATGTCTTAAAAATCTTATACAGGCTCAGTTAGGTCAATCATGGGTTTGTGTAAGTGGTAGTATTTCCAGAGAGGATCTAATCTACATGGGAAGTAGAAAAAGACAAGCTCTCCTGAGTAAACTGGGAGCATAGGGAGCATGGGAGAGGGTAGAAGGGGAGGGGAGAGGAAGGGAGGGGAGCAGAGAAAAATATATAGCTCAGTAAAAGCAATAAAAAACTTGAATACATTTATGAGAATGAAAACTTTCTTGTATTTATTTTTCAATAGGATTAGGGATGAGTTCTATAATGTCAAATAATGAAAACAATGGTATATTATTTTGGCATTTTCTGGGCCCATTTTAGGTAATGTATGACATGGATTTCAGAGGAGGAGGATGGGCAGTAGTTCAGAAAAGGCTCAATGGGACAGTTGACTTCCAGAGGCCATGGTGTGATTACCTGGATAGATTTGAAGACCTTTTAGGTCAGAATTTATATATATATGTATGCATTGCCTTTTCTCTTTCTTTCTGGTGTGATATGTCTGAACTGCATCAGCGTTAGTCAAATCTTCAGGAAGAGTGGGTAAATATATGTGAATATAAAAATATGAGTTAAATTCTACTTTCTTATGTCAAATTATTTTTAAAAACTGTTTTCAGTTAAGACCTAGAAATCTGGACTGGAGACATGTCTTAGCAATTAAGAATACTGGCTCCTTCTCCAGCAGACCTGGGTTCAATTTCCGGGTCCCACATGGCAGATCACACTGCCTGTAACTCCTGTTCCATGGGATCTAAAATCTTCTTCTGGTTTTTATTAGCCCAGGCACACACAAGGTGTACACATGTATGCAAAAACACCTGTAGACACACATTTTAAAAAAGTAAAACTTTTTAGAGATGAATTGAAATATAATTTGAGTGAAAATTCTCAGCTGAATATTTGTTATCTGTACCCAGTAGTTGGTAGGTGCTTCCCAATTGCTTGTGGGATGGGGAAAGAAAAAAAAAAGGTAGGGTTATCATAGACTTAAAATACAATGAAATACTGATAGAACCAAGGCATATGACCATTAAAGTCAAAGCCTTTAAGTTGAATGTAATTTTGCAAAACTATGATGTACATAACTATTCTCTAAATTTGAAGAGAGTTTTGACTAAGAATTTCTATAACCATATACTGCTTGTGCAAACTGAGACTGTTTTATATTTAGTAGAATTAAAATATATTGGGTATCTAATAAAATGTGCTGGTAATGCTTACATATGGGATTGGAGTAAAACTGAAAGAAGCTTAAGACATACAAAGACCATGAAACTAAAAGTTCCTGGAGAAACCCATCCTGCAATGTGTCCACTTTTTCTTGTACTTATTCTTTTCAGTTTGAACAGAGTGATAGCTAAAATATCCATAGAAAAGAACTTTATATATTAGTCATAGCTTTTTGAGTTTCAATACTGTCTGTCTCATTATCTTCCAACCCTCTGAAATTTTATACCCTGTAATTTCATAACTTAAGTAGGTTGTAGCTCAGGAATGTCCACATTTAGTCCACATTGTGGATATCGAAAGATAGAAAGCCAGTGGCTAAATGTGTTTGCAAGAACATTGTCCAAGTGAGAGAGTTCTGTTAATGTCATCCACCTTAGATCTACAGTTGTCTTTGAAATATCAACTCTAAATCTGGGGAAGCTTCAGTGTGGCTACATTTTGTTTCCATTCATAGGTTATGGCAAGCTGCTTTTAAACAAAGAAATACTCATTTATAAGGATTTTCCAAGGCAGAAAAAGCAATTTCAGCTGAGTGCTTTCAGGAAATGTTTCTTTTTTTTTTTTTATTGAGAAAAGGAAAAAAAAAGTTTCCACCTCCTCCCAGCCTCCCATTTCCCTCCCCCTCCTCCCACCCTTCTCCCAATCCTCCCACCCTTCCCCCCTCCCCCCACTCCTCTCCCCCTCCCTCTCCAGTCCAAAGAGCAGTCAGGGTTCCCTGCCCTGTGGTAAGTCCTAGGTCCTCCCCCCTCCGTCCATATCTAGGAAGGTGAACATCCAAACTGGCTAGGCTCCCACAAAGCCAGCACATTACGTAGGAACAAAACCCCGTGCCATTGTCCTTGGCGTCTCATCAGCCCTCATTGTTCGCCATGTTCAGAGAGTCCAGTTTTATCCCATGCTTTTTCAGTCACAGTCCAGCTGGCCTTGGTGAGCTCCCAATAGATCAGCTCCACTGTCTCAGTGGGTGGGTGCACCCCTCATGGTCCCGACTTCTTTGCTCATGTTCTCCCTTCTTCTGCTCCTCATGGGACCTTGGGAGCTCAGTCCAGTGCTCCAGTGTGGGTCTCTGTCTCTATCTCCATCCATCACCAGATGAAGGTTCTATGATGATATGCAAGATATTCGTCAGTATAGGATAGGGTCATTTCAGGTTCCCAATCCTCAGCTGCCCAAGGAACTAACTGGGGACCTCAGCTTGGGCACCTGAGAGCCACTCTAGGTTCAAGTCTCTTGCCAACCCTAAGGTGGCTCCCTTAACTAAGAATTGTGCTTCCGTGCTCCCCTAGTCAACCTTCCTTTATCCCAATCCTCCCTTTTCCCCAAGTTTCCCCCATCCTCCCCTTCTCCCTTTTCTCTCCCCATCTCCCCTTACCCCCATCCCACCCCACCCCCAAGATCCCAATTTTCTCCCCGGCAATTTTGTCTACTTCCCATAGCCAAGAGGACAACTATAAGTTTTTCCTTTGGTTCACCTTCTTACTTAGTTTCTTTAGGATCACCAATTGTAGACTCTGTGACCCTTATTTATGGCTAGAAACCAATTATGAGTGAGTACATCTCATATTCATCTTTTTGGGTCTGGGTTACCTCACTCAGGATAGTGTTTTCTATTTCCATCCATTTGCATGCAAAATTCGAGAAGTCATTGTTTTTTACCGCAGCGTAGTACTCTAATGTGTAGATATTCCACACTTTCTTCATCCATTCTTCCATTGAAGGGCATCTAGGTTGTTTCCAGGTTCTGGCTATTACAAATAATACTGCTATGAACATAGTTGAACAAATGCTCTTGTCATATGATAGGGCATCTCTTGGGTATATTCCCAGGGGTGGTATTGCTGGGTCCAGAGGTAGGTTGATCCCGAATTTCCTGAGAAACCGAAACACTGATTTCCAAAGTGGTTGCACAAGATTGCATTCTCATCAGCAATGGATGAGGGTATCCCTTCCTCCACAGCCTCTCCAGCAAAGGCTATCATTGGAGTTTTTTATTTTAGCCATTCTGACAGGTATAAGATGATATCTCAAAGTTGTTTTGATTTGCATTTCCCTGATTGCTAAGGAGGTTGAGCATGACCTTAAGTGTCTTTTGGCCATTTGAACTTCCTCTGCTGAGAATTCTCTGTTCAGTTCAGTGCCCAATTTTTTAATTGGGTTAATTAGCATTTTAAAGTCTAGTTTCCTGAGTACTCTATATATTTTGGAGATCAGACCTTTGTCTGTTGCGGAGTTGGTGAAGATCTTCTCCCAGTCAGTAGGTTGCCTTTTTGTCGTGGTGACAGTGTCCTTTGCTTTACAGAAGCTTCTCAGTTTCAGTAGGTCCCATTTATTCAATGTTGCCCTTAATGTCTGTGCTGTTGGGGTTACACATAGGAAGCGATCTCCTGTGCCCATCTGTTGTAGGGTACTTCCCCCTTTCTCTTCTATCAGGTTCAATGACTGATACTGAGGTCTTTAATCCATTTGGACTTGAATTTTGTGCATGGTGATAGATATGGGTCTATTTTCATTCTTCTACAGGTTGACATCCAGTTATGCTAGCACCAATTGTTGAAGATGCTTTCTTTCTTCCATTGTATACTTTTGGCTCCTTTATCAAAAATGAGGTGTTCATAGGTTTGTGGGTTAAAATTCGGGTCTTCTATACGATTCCATTGGTCGACTTCTCTGTTTTTATGCCAGTACCACACTGTTTTCATCACTGTAGCTCTGTAACAGAGTTTGAAGTCAGGGATGGTAATACCTCCAGACAATCCTTTATTGTATAGGATTGTTTTGGCTATCCTGGGTTTTTTGTTTTTCCATATAAAGTTGATTATTGTCCTCTCAAGATCTGTGAAGAATTTTGATGGGACCTTGATGGGGATTGCATTGAATCTATAAATTGCCTTTGGTAGAATTGCCATTTTTACTATGTTGATCCTCCCAACCCAAGAGCAAGGGAGGTCCTTCCATTTTCTGGTATACTCCTCAGTTTCTTTCTTCAATGCCTTAAAGTTCTTGTCAAATAGATCTTTCACTTCCTTGACTAGAGTTACCCCAAGATATTTTATGCTGTTTGTGGCTATCGTGAAAGGTGAAGCTTCTCTGATTTCCCTCTCTGCTTCCATATCCTTTGTGTATAAGAGGGCAACTGATTTTTTGGAGTTGATCTTGTATCCTGCCACATTACTAAAGGTGTTTATCAACTGTAAAAGTTCTTTGGTGGAGTTTTTTGGGGTCGCTTATGTACACTATCATATCATCTGCAAATAACGAAAGTTTCACTTCTTCCTTTCCAATACGAATCCCCTTGATCCCCTTATGTTGTCTTATTGCTATTGCTAGAACTTCAAGCACTATATTGAAGAGGTATGGCGAGAGTGGACAGCCTTGTCGTGTTTCTGAGTTAGTGGGATGGCTTTGAGTTTCTCTCCATTTAATTTGATGTTAGCTGTCGGCTTGCTGTATATAGCTTTTATTATATTTATGTATGACCCTTGTATCCCTAATCTCTCCAATACTTTTATCATAAAGGGATGTTGAATTTTGTCAAATGCTTTTTCAGCATCTAATGAAATGATCATATGTTTTTTTTTTCTTTCAGTTTATTTATGTGATGGATTACATTGATAGATTTTCGTATGGTGAACCAGCCCTGCATCCCTGGGATGAAGCCTACTTGATCATAATGGATAATTTTTCTAATGTGTTCTTGGATTCGGTTTGCCAGTATTTTGTTGAGGATTTTTGCATTGATGTTCATGAGTGAGATTGGTCTATAATTCTCTTTCTTGGTTGAGTCTTTGTGCGGTTTTGGTAGCAGAGTAATTGTAGCTTCATAAAAGGAATTTGGCAATGCCTCTTCTGTTTCTATATTGTGAAATACATTAAGGAGTATAGGTATTAGGTCTTCTTGGAAGTTCTGGTAGAATTCTGCATTGAAACCATCTTGTCCTGGGCTTTTTTTTCGTAGGGAAGTTTTTGATAACCTCTTCTAATTCTTCGCGACTAACAGGTCTATTTAGATTGTTCACCTGGTCCTGGTTTAACTTTGGTATATGGTATTTATCTAAAAAAGTGTCCAACAATTCTCCAACAATGGAAAAAAGAGAGCATCTTCAACAAATTGTGCTGGCAAAACTGGATGTCAATCTGTAGAAGAATGAAAATAGATCCATATCTATCACCATGTACAAAACTCAAATCCAAATGGATTAAAGACCTCAATATCAGTCCGAACACACTGAACCTGATAGAAGAGAAAGTGGGAAGTACTCTACAGCACATGGGCACAGGAGACCACTTCCTACGTATAACCCCAGCAGCACAGACACTAAGGGCATCATTGAATAAATGGGACCTCCTGAGGCTGAGAAGCTTCTGTAAAGCAAAGGACACTGTTACTAAGACAAAAAGGCAACCCACTTACTGGGAGAAGATTTTCACCAACCCCGCAACTGACAAAGGTCTGATCTCCAAAATATATAAAGAAATCAAGAAACTAGACCGTAAAAGGCTAATCAACCCAATTATAAAATGGGGCATTGAGCTGAACAGAGAATTCTCAACAGAAGAACTAAAAATGGCCAAAAGACACTTAAGGTCATGCTCAACTTCCTTAGCAATCAGGGAAATGCAAATCAAGACAACTTTAAGATACCATCTTACACCTGTCAGAATGGCTATAATAAAAAACACCAATGATAGCCTTTGCTGGAGAGGTTGTGGAGAAAGGGGTACACTCACCCATTGCTGGTGGGAATCCAAACTTGTGCAACCACTTTGGAAAGCAGTATGGCGGTTTCTCAGGAAATTCGGGATCAACCTACCCCTGGATCCAGCAATACCACTCTTGGGAATATACCCAAGAGAGGCCCTATCATACAACAAAAGTATATGCTCAACTATGTTCATGGCAGCATTGTTTGTAATAGCCAGAACCTGGAAACAACCTAGATGCCCTTCAATGGAAGAATGGATGAAAAAAGTATGGAATATATACATATTAGAGTATTACTCAGCAGTAAAAAACAAGGACTTCTTGAATTTTGCATACAAATGGATGGAAATAGAAAACACTATCCTGAGTGAGGTAGCCAGACCCAAAAAGAGGAACATGGGATGTACTCACTCGTATTTGGTTTCTAGCCATAAATAAAGGACATTGAGCTTATAATTCATGTTCCTAGAGAAGCTAAATAAGAAGGTGAATCCAAAGACAAACACATAGGCATCCTCATGAATATTAACCTTCATCAGGAGATGAAAGGAGACAGAGACAGAGACCCACATGGGAGCACCGGACAGAAATCTCATGGTCCAAATCAGGAGCAGAAGGAGAGGGAGCACGAGCAAGGAACTCAGGACCACGAGCGGTGCACCCACACACTGAGACAATGGGGATGTTCTATCGGGAACTCACCAAGGCCAGCTGGCCTAGGTCTGAAAAAGCATGGGATAAATCCGGACTAGCTGAACATAGCGGACAATGAGGAATACTGAGAACTCAACAACAATCGCAGTTGGTTTTTGATCCTACTGCACGTACTGGCTTTGGGGGAGCCTAGGCAGTGTGGATGCTCAACTTACAAGACCTGGATAGAGGTGGGCGGTCCTTGGGCTTCCCACAGGTCAGGGAACCCTGATTGCTCTTCGAGCAGATGAGGGAGGGGAACTTGATCGGGGGAGAGGGAGGGAAATGGGAAGTGGGTGCGGGGAAAAGGCAGAAATCCTTAATAAATAAATAAATTAAAAAAAAAAAGAAATCCCAGGGCTTCAGCCTCAGCTGGAGGCTGAGTCTTTGCTGAAGTGCTGTCTCAGCTATCTCCTAGTCATGTTCTTCGATGAGTGTGAGCCAGCATTGTCGGACACTGAGAGGCTCATGCCCAGGAAAGCAGCAGTCACAGCTTACACACCCGACAAATGAGAGGACTGCACACGTCACAGCACCGTCATCCCACGGAGCACCCTGCTGCAGCTGGAATGAATGAGGTTGCTCAGGATGGTCTGTCTGAGGAAGATTTCACAGGAGACACCATAGAGAAAGAGGGGGGAACATGGGATTCTGTTGAAGGCCGTCACCAGCTCAGTGTCAAGGGTTCCAGCACAACTAATGTTTTCTGTGGAGTCCGTGGCATGGAGACAATGTTCCTATTACAGAGAGATGTCTCAAGTAAGAACCGTAAAAGTCACAGAGTCATGCTTAAGGCCTGAGCACATGTAGCCTCTCTTCTCCCGCAATTTTCTAGGAATCTCACCAGAAACCCTATTATTTACTGTAAAGACATGCCTTCACTCCTTTGTGTAGCCCTGTGGCCCATGGTTTTACCGTATCAGATTGTAATTTTACCCAAGGGACCTCTGGGGCCACCCTATGATTTCCTTTACTTAAAAAATAAAGGAGGAAGAAAATAAAATACATTGTTAAAAAAAATAAATAAAAAAGTGTCCATTTCCTTTACATTTTCCAGTTTTGTGGCATATAGGCTTTTGTAGTAAGATCTAATGATTCTCTGAATTTCCTCTGTGTCTGTGGTTATGTCCCCCTTTTCATTTCTGATCTTATTAATTTGCGTGTTCTCTCTCTGCCGTTTGACTAGTTTGGATAGGGGTTTGTCAATCTTGTCGATTTTCTCCAGGAACCAGCTTTTTGTTTCATTGATTCTTTGTATTGTTTTCTGTGTTTCTATTTTGTTGATTTCAGCCCTCAGTTTGATTATTTCCAGTCTTCTACTCCTCCTAGGTGAGTCTGCTTCTTTTTTTTCTAGAGCTTTCAGGTGGGCTGTTAAGTCTCCAATGTGTGCTTTCTCTGTTTTCTTTAAGTGGGCACTTAGTGCTATGAACTTTCCTCTTAGGACTACTTTCATAATGTCCCATAAGTTTAAGTATGTTGTTTCTTTATTTTCATTGAATTCCAGGAAGACTTTAATTTCTTTCTTAATTTCTTCCTTAATCCAGGTATGGTTCAGTAGTTGAAGGAAATGTTTCTTAAGGAGCAGCTGAGTTGAGATTAAAACTCCTACTTTCACTGGGTCGCATCATTTGTTAGTTGACGTAAGACTTCAACAAGTTTTTTGTTGACATGCCGTAAAGGTAAATCTTGACTTTTAATTTAGTCTTTAAGTACACTTTTAAGTTGAATTTGGGGCGATAGAAATGGAGCAGTTTGTTTGGTTCTGTTCAGGTTAATGAATTAACAAAATAAGTAGGTGATGTGGGCTGAGATTTCTGTTGACAGAGGCTTCTTTGCAGTCGTTCAGTCCCAAAGAAATACACAGAGGTCTACATTAATTATAAACTGATTGGCCTATTAGCTCAGGCTTCTTATTAACTCTTATAACTTATATTAGCCCATAATTCTTGTCTGTGTTAGCCATGTGGCTTGCTACCTTTTTCGGCATGGCAGTCACATGTTGCTTGCTCTGTGTCTGGGTGATGGCTTCAGATCGAAGCTTTCCTCTTTACAGAATTCTCATTGCCCCACTCTAATTCCTGCCTGATTACTGGCCGATCAGCATTTATTTAAAATGCAAGTGACAGGGCACAGACCATTGTCCCATAGCAAAGTTAAATAACAGCTGATGGATGAGCTGGGCCACGCCTGTCCAGAGTCCTGGTTATGGATGCATCTCCTTAGTTATAAAGACGCTGAATGGCATCAACATTCACAAACAAAAGATTGTTCTCCCATTTCAACTAAATGTCTTAAAACAAAGCATTTCTTTTACAGGAGAATTTTGGCTAGGACCGAAAAAGATTTTTTACATAGTAAACCAGAAAGATTCCATTTTTGTGTTTCATGTGGCCCTGGAGTCCGAGGACGACACCTTGGCTTATGCTTTATATGATAATTTTTGGCTCGAGGATGAAACACAATTTTTAAAAATACATTTAGGACAATATTCAGGAAATATGGGTAAGATTTTAATTACTAAAATGACACAAAAAATTGAGCTATCCCTTGCCCGGTATTACGTAAAGATAGCCATAACACAGGACATATGGTGATGACATACAGCCGATGACAGTAGATTAGAGATCAATGTGTAAGTCAGATCTTGGCTTTCTAGATACTTCATATAGCTTTTCTTTTCACTGAACATATTAATCAAAAATTTCATGTAGGTTAAATGTAGGTATGAGTCCGATAAGAACCTTTAACTTCATGTAACTGTACAAAACAAAATATAGTTCCTGAGCATGCAATTTAATTATTAGCTGGACTGTCTCAGCCAAGAAATTTAATCCTTTAAGGATCTGGTGAATATCAGGCATGATAGTCATGCAGTGTTTAGTGTAAGCTCCTTAAAAATAATCAGTCTACACAGATGTGAAGAACCATGGGGGACAGCACAACTCAATAGTACATCAGAATTTTCATGAGCACCCTAGGCATGCTACAGGAACATTATATCTCCAAATGAAAGGAAATTATGTTGCAATTACAAATCTAATATTCTCAAGGGTAAATGCTTCACCTTCATCCATAATTGTCTTTCTAAAATGAAAATCTACCATGAAGTGGTGAAGAGATGAGTCACTGGTTAAGAATATTTGCCATCCTTCCAGAGGAACAGGTTCAAAGCGCAGCACTCACTTGGGGCTCACAACTGTCTGCTATTCCAGTTCCAGGGGATCCAACATACTCTCTAGCCCCTATGAGCACTCCTTGCATGTGGTGCACAGACACATATGCAGGCCAAACAATTATACCCATAAAAAAGTAAAAAGAATGCCCAAACCCCATTATGTAATAAAAAGAAAACATAGTGTGTAAGTTGTTTTATTTTTTTTTTTAAATTATCAGTCACCGTTCAGATCACTTTCAGGTATTGCAGGTACATGTACCGTAATCTGATTTTTCTATAGCCAAGCTTCCATGCTGGTTAGTCTGTGTACTTAAAGATACCGTCAAGGCTTCACAAGGTTTGGCACATTGTGTGAGAGAGATTTTCACAGGACAAATAGTGGAAAAAACAATCGATTCTGTTTCTGGATTCAGTATTTCTGTATAATTGGATGGTAATGATTGAAATAAAAATTCTCTGAATTCATCTTTTTTTGAAAATAATCCATTTTATGCAGGTGATGCATTTCGGAGCTTCAGGGAAGATGATAACCAGAATACAATGCCTTTCAGCACTCAGATGTTGATAATGATGGGTGCCGCCCTGCTTGTCAGTCTGTGAAGAGCTGCAGTCACCTCCATAACAACATTGGCTGGTGCTTCAACCAGTGAGGTCTCACGAACCTAAATGGCATCCATCGCCTTCCTGGAAAACTGCGTGCAATTGGAATTCAGTAGGGTACATGGACCGAAAACAATTCTGCTGTCAATATTAAATCTGCCTCAGTGAAGACTAGAAGAACTTACAACCCCTATTTTAAGTAGTCTTATTTTAAACTGTAGCACAATTTCTATAGTTATTTTTGAAAATGTGCTAAAACTTTTTTGTACAGAGTTTCTTTCTTACTTAGAGTTTAACATATTAGCCAAAATTGAATTGAATATAGATGTCATCTTAGTGCTATGAGTTTAGTTAGTAAACTTCAGTTTTGCAGCACTTATAAAAGCAATCACAGCGCATCAAGGTATGTTTTTTAATTGACTAATTAACATTTTGTGATTGTTTGCAAGATTCACAGTAAATTTATTTATTTATTTATTATGTATACAATATTCTGTCTGTGTGTATGCCTGCAGGCCAGAAGAGGGCACCAGACCCCATTAGAGATGGTTGTGAGCCACCATGTGGTTGCTGGGAATTGAACTCAGGACCTTTGGAAGAGCAGGCAATGATCTTAACCTCTGAGCCATCTCTCCAGCCCCCAGTATTTTTTTATAAACAGGTATTAGAAAATTTTTTATTAATTACATCATTTCTGAGTTACCCAGTGTTTTCTCGGATCTTTGAGGAACAAAGTCGGCCTACTTTGTGTCTGAGAATGACTGAACTTTGGGTCCTTCCGTTTGTAACTCCAGAGTGCTTAGATTGCTGGCATATGTTGCCATGTGTGCTCTATACAGTGGCAGAGATGGGACCTAGGGTTTTGTGGATGCTAGCCGACAGTCTGCTGCCATCTGTTCTTTTTCTTATTGATATTTATTGAGCTCTACATTTTTCTCTGCTCCCCTCCATGCCTCTCCCCTCCCCCCTTCAATCCTCCCACAAGGTCCCCATGCTCCCAATTTACTCAAGAGATCTTGTCTTTTTCTACTTTCTACTTCCCATGTAGGTTAGATCTATGTAAGTCTCTCTTAGTATCCACATTGTTGTCTAAGTTCTCTGGGTTTGTGGTTAGGTTGGTTTTCTTTGCTTTATGTTTAAAAATCACCCATGAGTGAGTGAATACAAGTGATAATTGTCATTCTGGGTCTGGGTTACCTCACTCAAAATAATGTTTTCTAGCTTCATCCATTTTCCTGCAAAATTCAAGCTGTTGTTATTTTTTTCTGCTGTGTAGTACTCCATTGTGTAAATATAGCACATTTTCCTTATCCATTCTCCAGTCGAGGGGCATTTAGGTTGCTTCCAGATTCTGGCTATGACTAACAAAGCTGCTATGAACATAGTTGAGCACATGTCCTTGTGGCACGATTGAGCATCCTTTGGATATATACCCAAAAGTGGTATTACTGGGTCTTGAAGAAGATTGTTTCCTAATTTTCTGAGAAATCACCACCACACTGACATCCAAAGGGGTTGTACCAGCTTGCAGTCCCACCAGCAATGAAGAAGTGTTCCCTTTTCCCCACAACCTCTCCAGCATAAGTTGTCGTCAGTGTTGTTGATCTTGGCCATTCTTACAGGTGTAAGATGGAATCTCAGAGTTGTTTTGATTTGCATTTCTCTGATGACTAAGGATGTTGAACATTTCCTTAAGTGTTTTTCAGCCATTTTAGATTTCTCTGTTCATGTCTGTACTCCATTTTTTTTATTGGATTATGTGATCTTTTGGTGTCCAATTTCTTGAGTTCTTTGTATATTTTGGAGATCAGATGTCTGATGTGGGGTTAGTGAAGGTCTTTTCCTATTCTGTAGGCTGTCATTTTGTCTTGTTGACCATGTCCTTTGCTTTACAGAAGCTTTTCAGTTTCAGGAGGTCCCATTTATTAATTGTTTCTCTCAGTGTCTGTATAATTGTATAATATGGGGTTATATTTAGGAAGTGGTTCCCTGTGCCAATGCATTCAAGTGTACTTCCCATTTTCTCTTCTGTAGGGCCTGGGTTTACCCCTGCTCCTGGGGTTCACCTTGAGGACAGTCTCTGGCCAGCCAGCATTTACATTTGAACCTGTGCTCCCTCTGCCCCACCTGGTGATTAGCTGTAGGGCATTGTTTACTCCATCTTGGGTGTGGCAATTTCCCACCTGCCTGGGGGGAATTCTTTGTGTAGCAGCTAAGTATTTAAGGATTTCCCCAAGGTTGAATAAAGGCTTTTGTCTGACCTCCTTTCGAAAGACCCAGGTCTCTTGTGTGTTCTTTCGATCTCCAGGCCCTTGCCCGACTATAATACGACTGTACTGAGAGGGTAATACAGAATCGGGTGTTACACTCTTCTATAAGGTTCCGTGTGGCTGGCTTTATGTTGAGGACTTTGATCCATTTGGGCTTGAGTTTTGCGCATGGTGATAGATATGTGTGTATTTTCATTCTTCTACATATTGATATCCAGTTATGCTAGCACCATTTGCTAAATATGCTTTCTTTTTTCCATTTGATATTTTTTGCTTCTTTATCAAAGATCAGTTGTTCGAAGATGTGTGGATTGATATCCGGCTCTTCTGTTTGGTTTCATTGGTCCTCCTGTCTGTTCTTATGTCAATACCAGGCTGTTTTCAGTACTGTAGCTGATTCACAGTATTTTTTTAAGGAACTTGCTTTCTCTTTGAGCATGTAAACCATAGTAATTTGTTAAGAAAACTGAAGAGATACTTCTCTATCTGTATGCTTACTTACATAATTTATCGGTAATTTCTAGTGAAGACAGTTATAAGGAGCAATGTATGAGAATTAATACATTAACAACATGGGTTAAAAGTTTTACCAAGTGATACCACAATATTTTAAAAGTGATAAGAACTTGCTGCTAAAATAAAACCTTTCCTATTTTATCATGAATAATAATTTTGTTTTTATTTGCAATATATTTACTGTACATATATCCTGATCAGTTTCATTCTAAAACACTTTTAAATCTCTTTAATTAGTTATTTTGAAACAGGGTTTCTCTGTGTAACAAGCCCTAGCTGTCCTGTAACTGGTTCTCTAGACCAGGCTGGCCTTGAACTCACAGAGATGCACCTGCCTCTGCCTCCCAAGTGTTGGGATTAAAGGCATCTGCCACTACCACCCAGCCCTAATTACAATTTTTCATGTTTTCTTTTTAAAGCTTTACTTGATAACTCAGCCATTCCTAGAACTCACTATATGGCCCATACTATCTTGGGAGTCACCATATAGCTCAGGCTGGCCCGGAACTTGGGCAATCCTGCTTCAACCTCTTGAGTGCTAGGTTATAGTTATGAGCAGCCACATCTGGATCTTAGCTCTTTTTAAGCCAAGTGATATACACTGTTAAGTGCACGGTGAGCATGATGAGTCATTGGTCTAGATGTGCTTGGGAGAAATCCTGTTTCCTCCGTGGTTTCTAAGGAAACGGAAGGTAATGATACCACAAAGACAATGCAGGAAACATTCTAGGCCAGGAATCAGTTAATGATGAAGAGTAGGAAAGACAGCAAAGGACAAACTCTCCTTTTCATGTGGTGTCACAGTCTAAGAGCTTCCTTATAAAACACGCACATGCCAAGAATAGCATTTGACATAATATAACTGGTCAATAAATTAACTTGTCATTAATTATCACAAAATCTATTTTGTTGGTATTTACCCAGTATTCGCACATAAGCTGGGATATGTAATACAACATTGCTGAAGGAGTAGTCAGGGAAACAGTTTGTCTATCTCAGTTTTATATATCACATCCAGACACACAGTTATGAATATCTGATCAGAGATGATATTTAATGTGGGCTAGGCATCTGACACTATGACATACCATGCATGGACCTCAGTTCTATGATGTTAGTGTGATGAAGGTGGTTAAACCGTGTAGACACACAATGATATCCCTTAACATGTTAGTGGAATTCAAGGATAGGCCTTGCCTTCTTGGTCTTTTCACTGAAATACTGGTGAGGAGGGCAATGCTGCTCACATATGTCTGGTTCTGCCCTAATCTGCGTCCCATCACACCGTGTTATCTTGCATCAAGTGTTCTGTGTAAAGAACAAATTGATCCTTATGTCACTTCTGAAACAACTTTTGAAAGATGTTCTAAAGGAAGAATTTAGAAAGGCATACAGTGATGTAACAGTTGATTGGAATCAGCTTGAACCAGGCTTGCCGTTGGTGTTCACAGTGGCTCACTATCTGAGGAATAACGTGACAGATTCATGGAACCTGTGCTTCAGATTAAAATAGTACACCTCAGAAAGTTTGCAGATGCAGAAATGAGAAAAACTGATAACATCAAAAAATTTTGTAAAAGGCTACTTCTATTTTAGTGTAGTAATGTTGTTTTCAGTAAATGCTGGGCTTAAGAAATAAATTTTTGTTATGTGGCACTAAGAAATGTAATGCATTGAACAGCTGTGAAGGGACTTCAGGCATTTAATTTTCCACAAATGCTAAAGCATTTTTATTCAGTGAGGCTAGGCTTCTGAAATGGCAATAAATGACATAATAAAAACTTTAGTTAAGGTTATATAACTTTTAAAGAAAATTTGGAAAAACAATTTTTTAAAATTTCATTTTACATTCCAACCAGTTCTCCATCCCACCCCTCCTCCCACTCTCTTTCACCTTGCCCCAGCCCACCCCCCATCTACTCCTCCCAACAGATAAGGGCTCTCTATGTCTAGCACATTAGGTTGGGGCAGGACCAAACCCCTCTCCCCTGCATTAAGGCTGAGCATGGCATCCCACCATAGGGAATGGGATCCAACAAGCTAGCTCATGCACCAGGGGCCCTTCAGATAGACCAAGATACACCACTGTCTCCTACATATGGAGGACCTAGTTCGGTCCCATGGAGGCTCCACAGCTGTTGGTCTAGAGTTCATGAGATTCCACCAGCTTGGTTCAGCTGTCTCTCTAGATTTTCCATCATGATCTTGACCTCCTTTGCGCACATATTATCTCTTCCCTCTCTTTGAATTGTTTTTGCTGTGCCAATGTGTTCAAGGCTACTTCCCACTTTCTCTTCTGTTAGGTTCAGTGTAACTTGATTTATGTTGGGGTCCTTGACCACTTGGATTTGAATTTTGTGCATGGCAATAGATATGGATCTATTCTGATTCTTCTACATGTTGGCACCAGTTATCCTGTCAGGAGCCGTATCCTCCTAAAATCGTTACAGGGACCATCACCCTGGGGAGTCTGCAGAGAACCCCACACCCATAATTGTGTTAAGAATCGTTCTATTGACAGAGCCTACCCCACACCCAAATTGGCTGTTAATGGAGAGCTATCTGTTAGCGGAACCCACCCCACATTCCAAACTATCTAGAGAACTAGGTGTGTCAACTCGTGACTTCCTGGCCTACGTGACCTGACCGAAGGTAACCTCCTGGACCATGTGACCACCATGGACCATGCGGCAAGATTCCATGCCCCGCCCCCATCCCAAGCCAAACTCCTTACCCTATATAAGCTGTACCCCATCTCTAATAAACTGAGGCTTTGACAGGAACCCCCGCTTAACCTCATTCTTCTCTCTTAGCCCATTATCTTCCAGATAGTGCCTCTCCGGGACCCTGGAATAACTGAACTGCCAGGCGGGTTACAAACCCCTAGACTAAATAACCCGCCAAAGCAATCAACATTATCCCAGCACCATTTGTTAAAGATGCTTTCTTTTTTCCATTGTACCATTTTGGCTTCTTAGTCAAAGATCAGGTGTTCATAGGTGTGTGGATCAATATCAGGGTCTTGATTTGATTCCTGTCTGTTTTTATGCCAATACCAAGCTGTTTTTATTACTGAAGCTCTATAGTAGAGTTTGAAGTCAGGGATGGCGATGCTTCCAGAAGTTCCTTTATTGTACAGAATTGTTTTAGCTATCCTGGGTGTTTTATTTTTCTATCTGAAGTTGAGTATTATTCTTTCAAGGTCTGTGAAGAATTGTGTTGGGATTTTGATGGGGATTACATTGAATCTGTAGATTGCTTTTGGTAAGATTGCCATTTTTAGTATGTTGCTCCTAACTATCTAAGAGCATGGAAGATCTTTCCATTTTCTGATATCTTCTTCAATATCTTTCTTCAGAGATTTAAAGTTCTTGTCATACAGGTCTTTCACTTACTTGTTTAGTTAGGGTTACCCTAAAATATTTTATATTTGCGCTTCTTGTAAAGGGTGCTGTTTCTCTGGTTTCTCGGTATATATATATATATATATATATATATATATATATATCTGAGGACTACTGATTTTTTTGAGTTAATCTTGTATCTGCCACATTACTGAAAACATTTATCTTTAATGATATTGTAATTTCATAGTTGCATGTATATGCTATTATAAAAAGCATAGTCAATAACCCATCATAGATTTAATAACACCAGGGAGTGTCAGAGTAGCTGATAGTCCGGGAGTTAAGAACTCTATCAATCTTCTTCCATACACATATGCGTGCAAACACTAGACCCATTGTTGTCCAGACAGGTCTAAGTTTAGAAGTAAGAATAGTTAAAATCAGTGGTTAGCAAAGCAGGGCCCGTAAGTCAATCATGCTCCACTGTTTTGGTCAATAAACATTCACTGGAATGCAAGCATAGCCTCTTACTTCTGTCTATATCTTCTTTCATGTTACAAGAACAGAGTTAATAAACCTTCATCAAAACTCTATTCATTATGAAGGGGATACTGTCATCTGTATGCATTATAAAGGGAGCATTATCATAATCATTTTATAACAATGAAAATTTAGGCAAATCTTGGATTAGATTTAAAATGAGGAATTGAGAGGATCCATCAGAGATTAAACTCATGGGATAAGGAAGATCTCTATACCTCTATATATGTATATATATTGGATCTTGACAGAGAATCCCAGAGTAAGTCAGAAGGACTTGTCAATCTTAGGCCAGATTTCAAGGCTTATTTCATAGCAAAGTTCCTCTGGCGCAATTTCTTCTTTTTTCAAGAGAGACGAGGGGTCTCATCTGTTCCCTTACAGTGGCACATCATATACTTAGCTCCCGAGGCAAATAACAGACATCCAGACTCTTTTCAAGGTTACTTGCTGTGATTTTGTGGTATCTTTGGAAAGGCATGCCTGCAACAAATATCCAATAGGTTATTTTAGAGAGGTGCCTGTGGCTTTCTAGAGGATATTCCTTGATAGTGGCAAATGATTTTATCAGAATGTTTTGTATTTCAAATTCCCACAAGAGCCAATAGAAATGACTTCAAGTTCTTGGGCATTAAAGTAGCCAAGATTTATGTAGGCAGTCTATATAGTTTATGCACACACACATAAGGATAAGCTTCTCTGAATGTCAGTGGACTCTATGACCTAGGTCTGCTCTAATCTAATTCAAGGGGCTCCGGCTGGTGAGCACAGATAGGAATCTCTGGTATTGTATTGCTACTGCACAGAAGTGGTTCTGAAGAGTCACAGAACTGTTTATATTGGTACCTCCTCAACCTTGACCTCTCCCTTTCCCATCTTGTTAATGTCTTCAGAAAGAAGTATCACCCCTAACAGAGAAATATTTCTATGGATCTATTCTTATTGATTCTTGAGAAGTTTCACATGTGAAGTCTTGGGACTCCTCTGTCTTCAACTAAAAGGTTTGCATCTCCCAGGTACTAGGTTTTCCCTGTAAGTGACTCTTGGCTGATGGTCCTTCTTGACAGTTCTTTACACAGATGCTCACTTCAGTCTTCCACGGGGAGATCACCTGCTTTAGTAATAAGATAGATGTGATGTAAATGGAAATACTGTCCATGGCTATCAATTGTTATTCGAATTTGTAAACAGTGGCCTTTGTGTTTGAGGGTAGCTCATCCATACTTGTTCTTCACAGATTAAAGAGCCGTGACACAAGGCTTGGACTCATGCAGAGCAAGGCTGGGGAGAAGAGTGGAAGGGGGTGATGGTATTTCTGTGAGTATCATGTTTGTATTTTAACTCGAAGTTCTTGACCTTGTACATCTGGAGTCTTGAAGACTTCCTGCCAGATTTTAAGTACTGTGATCTTTTACTCTACGTGAATGGAAGGTGTTTGACAAATGTTACATGAAATTCATGAAATTCCTTCTTTAGCATTGCTATTCTTAGACAGATACCATTAGGACCTGTTTTTTTTTTTTTGCTTACAATGTTTAGGTTGGTATATGGGGAGGTTCATATTAAGGGATCCACTATTTCTTAGCACATTCAAAGAATGTACTACTTCAGAGATGGGTTCTCATGACCCATCCTTTTACAGACTCCTGAGTTAGCCTCACAGCGTACAGCATCTAGATCTGTCCTTATTATAGACTGAGTTAGCCTCACAGCTTACAGCATCTAGATCTGTCCTTACTATAAATTCTTGAGTTAGCCAGAGCATCTAGATCTGTCCTTACTATAAATTCTTGAGTTAGCTACAGCATCTAGATCTGTCCTTACTATAAATTCTTGAGTTAGCCTCACAGCTTACAGCATCTAGATCCGTGGTACATTCATCAGATATATTCTCTTCAAGTCCCTGTGTCACTAAGGTATGTTTTGTTTATAGCATGTTTTCACCCATCTTTTCCAGGGGAAAGCCTGAGGCCTGTTTGCTGAGCTGGAGTGGGGTTGGTGGAAAGTCTGTAACTGCCGACCTCAAAGGCTCTGGGCTAACAAAGACAGCACAGCTCCTCAGAACTCAGACTGCTCTTCTTCCATTGTACCCCTCAGGACACTTAAGGGGTTCTGCGGAGAGTTTCATAGCCAGAACACCAGCTGTGCTCTGACCGTTTGCTCTGATAGCGGGTAAGTATGTATTGGGCCTTTGGACTTTGAGGACAACAAGTGTACAACATCCTAGTCTTTTTTCCCCTTGCACCTAAAGCCACCACTCAGACCTATTCCTCTTCCTAGTGGTAATTCAGGTACTCCCATTGGATTCATTTATACTCCAGCCCTACAAACCCCAAGTGGGCCTGGGTGTGTGGGTTCACACGGGTCCATGAAATGAAGACTCAGAGACACATTGAGAATGAACTTAACCTTAGCAGTCACAAGGTTCCTTAGCCTGGTGGACTGAAGCACTTTCCCTTAGCCCTTCAGCATTCTTACTTTTTCCTATATATTTACACGTTAGTTAGTAGATTTTCATAGGCTCAAAACAACCTGAATGAAGCTTCCAAAAATACTCTGTCAAGTACAAATACCTGATTCATGAAGTACCATGGTTTTCTGGGTTTTCCTTAACCAAGTTTTACATAGGCCTTATATCCATGGGACAAGATTTGCAAAGGGTGACAAAAGGTACCTGTAGCACAAAGGATGGACTAGGGCTGGGTGCTAACTCTGGATCTAAGCCAGGTATGGCCCATTGGGGGTTTATGGCTAGTGGGGGGTGAGGGGGATGGGAGGTGGTAGTGTTGTTTGCTATCCCTCTGGTGCCAAGCCGGCAAGAATTCTGCCATACCCAAGCTTTATTCGTGCTTTTTTGGGTTCAAATTCAGGCATCTCTTCCTGAACACCTTTGAGACTGATGAAAGCAATGTGGAATTTTTCTTTAACTGGTTAGATTCATGAAAAAAAAAATCCCCAATCTCTATTTAAACTTAACTATTAGTATTTTTATATTTTAGTTTTTGTTTGAATCATTGTATAGGTGGAGTTTTCCTGTGCTGGCAGCTGCTCCCAAATAACCACTGAGAAACTTAATATTAATTGTAAATGCTTGGCTGATAGCTCAGACTTGTTACTAGCTGACTCTTACATTTTAAATTAGCCCATATTCTTTATCTACCCTCTGCCACATGATTCATGGCTTGTTACCTCAGTTTTTCATGTCCTGCTTCCCCTGTGTCTGCTGGCATCTCCTCTGACTCCACCCCTCTTCATCTCAGCATCCTTAGTTTGGTTGTGCCACCTATACTTTGTGCCTAGCTACCGGCCAGTCAGCATTTTATTAAACCAATTTAAGTGACAAATCTTTACAGTGTATAAAAGGACTATTCCACAGAATCATTATATACTGAGTTCTAGGCCAGCCTAGGTTAGAGAGTGAGACCTTGACTCAAAACAAGACAAGACAAACCAAACCAAAACAAAAAACCCAAACCAAACCAATACAAACCACAACCCCCCTCCAAAACCAAAATGGAAGCAAACATATATATAATTATAGTATAGTTGGTTCTCTGAGAAAAAGTAGGAAAAGTACTTTAGGGCTATGTAAGTATGGACCGTGATATACAGTTGCCCAGGGTGTAGACTCCTGATCTAGACCAGCAATTCTTAAATTTATTGTACTCATGACCCAATTTAGTTAGAAAACTTTTTACATGATCTGTATTCAAATTAAATGTGTACTGATAATAAATCCTAGAGAGTTTTATTTTGAAACACTTATTCAGCATACTCACCACTTTGTAATTTATTAAAGAGAAGCAACTTTGAGTACTAATGAGATGGTGTGCTCTTTATCCTTACACAGAGAATCAAATCTTGACCGAATATCTGTAGAGCATCTTCAACCATTCTCAGAGCTGATTAGTATCTTGTTTCACAGTCATGGAACTCAAGAATGCTGCTGGGCATAAACACACAGTACAAAATGGCAGCAGTGTGTTTGGAGGCATTCCCAAAACTGTTGGAAATTCTGTCCAATCCCATTCCAAAATTCATCCAATGACCTTGTATAAAACTCAAGCCAGCATCTCTAACAGCAGTTTTAAAAATCAAGCATTCTAATACAATAAAATCAAACAAGTGTTGACTAAATCCTTACTTGCTGAGGAATGATAATAGAAAAATATAAGAAGTCTTTGCTTTTTAATTGAACTGTTGCATGTCTGCAAGTGCAGAAACATGGCGTAGGCGGTGAAAGCTGCAGTTTATAGTGAATACTGGTCTTGAGTCTGAGTGTTGGTTTGTGCTGTGTGCTGTGATTCCACATGCATTCATTACAATGTGCTCAGGGCACATGTTCAGAACCAAGGCTGCAAGTGCAGCACAAGTCAGTGATAGCCAGAAACACCCCAAATTCATTGCAAATTTGATTTTAAAATAATTTTTGTTGCATATCCAGAAACCTTCTATTGCCACATTTGTCTTGCTACCTTTAATTCCTTTATGTGGCCTCTACATTGGTTGATGATGCAGTTTGAGAAGGTAGGGTCTAGATGATGTAGGGTGGGACAGTACAGTAGAGTAAATTGGGAATGTTTTGGATGGGAAGGTTCCAGGCACTTGTGAAGAACTTCTCCCTCAGCATATGCTTCTTCCCCCACAACTCTGGATCACGTCTGACGAGAACACTCATGTATCCACTTCTGCTTTTACTTCTATGACCCTATCTGGCGAAGACATGTGCAAACCTTGTGCCTGTGGCTTCCATCTCTCTGAGTTCATATGTGTGTTAGTCCTGTAGTGTTTAGAAAGTCTTGTTTCCTTGGTGTCTTCCATTCCCTCTGGCTCTTATACTCTTTCCTCTTTTTCCACAGGGTTGCCTCAGCCCTGAGGGGAGGGATTTGAGGGAGACATTCTCTTCAGGGCTGAGTGTTCCAAGGTCTTTCTGTCTCCCTGCATATCATCTGACTTGAGTCTCTTTGTTTTTTCCCATCTACTTCAGGAGGAAGCTTCCCTAATGATGGCTGAGCAAGATACTGATCTATGAGTATAGCAGAATGACATTAGGAGTTGTTGTATTGCTATGTTCTTTTAGAATAATAGTAGTATTTGGCTTTGCCCTAGCTCTCTGGGATATCTAGTCCCAGGTTTTTGGTCACCAAAGCATTGACACGTGTGGGTTCCACATTGTGGGGTAGGCCTTAAGTGAAACCAGATGTGGTTGGTTACTCCCACAAGGTTTGTGCCACCATTGCACTGGCATATGTTCCAGTCAGGACAGTGTTGTAGATCAAAGGGTTTGTGGCTGCATTGGTGTTCACTCTTTTGGTAGTGTGCAGAGTAACTCTTCTGGTAGCAAAGATGCTAGAATTTAGGGATGAAGGCTCTATGTAGGCACCAGCTTGACTTTTCCATGTTCAAATGTTGAGGGTCATCTAGGTTGTTTCCAGTTTATGGCTGTTATTAATAGAGCAGCAGTGAACAGTTGATCAAGTGCCTCTGTGGATGAAGCGACTTTTGGGTATATGACTAAGAATGGCATAACTGGATCTAGTGGTAGATCAATTCCCATCTTCCTGAGGAACCACCATGCCGTTTTCCATAGTGATATTATAAGGTGTAAGATAAGGTCTCAGAGTAGTTTTGGTTTACATTTCCCTGATGACTAAGGTTAGTTAGACATTTCTTTATGTGTTTCTTAACAATTTGAGATTCCTCTGTTGAGAATTCTCTGTTTAGATCTATAAATTTTTAATTGGGTTATTTTATTGATATCCAGTTTTTGAATTTTTTATATATATTTTGAATATTAGCCCTTTATCAGATGTGTAGTTGGTAAAAATCTTACTCCATTCTGTAGGCTGACACTTTGTCCTAATGATGGTATCCTTTGTCATGCAGAAGCTCTTCAGTTTCATGAGGTTCCATTTATTAATTGTTCCATTTATTAATTAATTGTTGATCTTAGTTCCTGTGCTAGATGTGTTCTGTTCTGAAAGTCTTTTCCTGTGACAATGAGTTCGAAGCTATTCTCCACTTTTCTCTTCTATGCAGTATAGTGTATCTGTTTTATATTGAGGTCTATGATTTGTTTGGAGTTAAGTTTGTTCCGGGTGATAAATAAGGATATATTTGGGTTCTTCTCCAAGCAGACTTCTAGTTTGACCAGCACCATTTGTTGAATAATCTTTTTCTAGTGTATATTTCTTTCTTGTTTATTAAAAACCAGTATCATAGGTGTGAGGATATAAGTCTGGGCCTTCAGTTTGATTCCATTGGTCAATGAGTCTGATTTTGTGCCGGTGCCCTGTGGTTTTTATTCAGCTCTGCACTTCACATTGATGTCTGTGATGGTGATGCCTCCTGCGGTTCCTTTATTATTCAGGGTTGCTTTAGCTATCCTGGGATTTTTCCTTATGAAGCTGAAAATTGTGTTTTCAATCTGTGAACAATTGTATTGAAGTTTTGATGGGGATTGCAGTGAACCTATAGATTGCTTTTGATAGGCTGGCCATTTTTACTATATTAATCCTTCCTTTCTATGAGCATGTAAGATCTTTCTGTCTTCTGGTACACGTGCTTGGTTAGAGATACTCAAGATACTTGATGTCATTTAAGGTTATTGTGAGAGGTGTTCTCCCTATTTGTTTCTGTCTGTCTGTCACTTGTATATAGGAGGGCTACTGATTATTTTTTTTTGAGTATTTTGTATCCAGCACTTTGTTGAAGTATCAGCTGTTGGAATTAACTGGAGGAATTTTCAGGGTCACTTATATATGCTAACATATCTGCAAATCATGATACTTTTCTTCCCTTCCAATTTATAGCCCCTTCATCTTCTTCAGTTTTCATATTGCTCTGAGACTTCAAGTACTATGTTGAGTAAGTATTGAGACAGTGAACAACCTTGTCTTAGTCCTAATTTTAGTGAAATTGCTTTGAGTTTCTCTCCATTTTAGTTAATGTTGATTATGGGCTAGCTGTAAGTTGTCATTATTGTGTTCAGGTATGTCCCTTGTATCCCTAATCTCTTTAGGATTTTTATCATGAAGGAATGTTGAATTTTGTCAAAGGCCTTTTCTGCATCAAATGAGATGAACATATGTTTATTTTGTCTTTCTTTGATCATCTGTTGGAATACATTTACTGATTTTCTTATATTGAACATATCTGGGATGAAGTATACT